TGTGTGTGTGTGTGTGTGTGTGTGTGTGGTCTCTGTGAGTGATGATTGAATCTTGTCAGTCAGGATGTTTTCACCTCAAGTCACTTGTTCCTTTAATGTCTTCAGAGACTCCGCCCTCCTGCCGGGACTAAAGCAGCTCTGCTTCATTTTCATGATGACAGTCATGATCAGTAAGCAACATTCAGTAAAAAAAGGGCTCCAAATACCTGGTAACGTTAGTGCACGTGACCTGTAACTTTAGAGCACGTGACCCGTAACGCTAGTGCACACGATTAGGTAACGCTAGTGCACACGATTAGGTAATGTTAGTGCACGTGACCCGTAACTTTAGAGCATGTGACCCGTAACGCTGGTGCACACGATTAGCTAACGTTAGTGTACGTGAACCGTAACACTAGTGCACACAACCACGTAACGTTGGTGCACGTGATCTGGTAACGTTAGTGCACGCGACCAGGTGACGTTGGTGCACGCGACCAGGTGACGTTGGTGCACGCGACCAGGTGACGTTGGTGCACGCGACCAGGTGACGTTAGTGCACGCGACCAGGTGACGTTGGTGCACGTGACTGGTGACGTTAGTGCACCAGGTGACGGTAGTGCACGTGAGCCGTAACGTTAGTAAAGACCAGTAAAAACTTTTTGTTGTTATGATTGTGAAAGTTACAAGCTTCAGTCTACACCGTGAACATTTGTTTCCCCAGAATGCAACAGGTCACATCTCTTATGAGGGGAAGCTGAACATATATCCAGTCACACCCTCACGTCCTCGTCTCTGCTGTAGCTGACAGGAACCAGGAGGTGGGTCTTCATCTGCTGTTGTCATAGTGAGACAGACTCTCAGCCAATCAGGTCGTTGTGTTCACCTCCAGCTCTTTATTGTGAAACTACATCGTCAGTTATGTTCAATGCGTTTTCATCCTGGTTATGTTTGTTCTTGAAGCGTCACAAATACGTTTCATCAAAGTCTGTCAGATATATATTTGATATATAATGTATGTATAATATAAATGACATTATATATATATATATATAAAATATATACAATATATAGATATATTTATATATCTATATATAGAACTGATGTTTTACTGACTCACTGTGGTGATGAAGAGGTCTGACCTTCGTCACTAGATGGAGCTCCAGTCGTTCATCTTCTTCATCAAACGCTCTTTAGTTTCTACATGAAGGATTCGATCTGGACTGAAAAATGTAATATTGGAAACTGGTGCCACTAAAGATATTATTACTGAAAACATATTTATATTTATGTTTTTCATCATCATGATGTTTGACACTTTTCTTCTCTTATTAATATTTTAGTCACATTTAGTCTGTGAGGAGCAGCTGAGTTTCATATATATACATATTTATATTACATTATATATGATATATACTGTATATGTATGTATATTTGTATTTAAGTTGTATACGTCGATATATGTATTTTAAATAAACGCCTTCATAAAACTGGAAGATAGAAAACGATGATAAAAAAATATTATTATTATTATAATGCTAACAACAGTAATAATCAGGATAATTATAACAATAATAATAATCTGGATAATTATAACAATGCTAACAATAATAATAATCTGGATAATTATAACAATGCTAACAATAATAATAATTTGTCAGAATCTTCACGTCTCCATAAAAACATTTTAATGATGTTTTCTTCTCATTTGTGATTTAAGGGTTAATATATAATATATTATTATTCATAACATTACTGATTTTATAGCCTCATCTATTTTCCTCTCAACAATATGTTTATTGATTATTCAGATAATATTAAATGATAATATGTTAAATATCTGTAGTTTTATTAACAAATACTAGAAATAGTCAGACAGTTTGAATTTGACTAAAAATCTCATCATAATATTTTCCTCGATCGATGATTATTATTTAATTGATCAAAGTCACTGATTTACAGCGTATAATAACAATGATAATGATAATGATGGTTGTTTTTATCTGTTTTAATTGACTAAATGTATAAAAATATGTTTAAATTCAAAATAAAAGCTGAAATCAGTTTGAACATAAAAAGAGCTTCTGAAGGTTCTTCAGTCACCATTGTGTGTGTGTGTGTGTGTGTGTGTGTGTGTGTGTGTGTGTGTGTGT